CTCTTAAAAGGGTGAAAGCTTCTTTCTTGGGGATTATGTTCTTAATTTTGCTTATTGGTTTTACTATTTAGGTGCAATAATGTTTGGGGACACATTGCTACCTTCAGAGTGTTCCCTAATTGTTGAAGAGCTGAAGCAAACATCATTGTGTTTCCAAGTGAGTTGACAGTACCCTAGTCTATTTGTCAATCAATACAAAAAATTGAGAGTTTGTTTTGCTTAGCTGAGAGAGAGAGATTGCTTAGCTGCATTGTTGATAATTCTGGAGAGTTTGTTTTGCAGTGTGCTCACGGGTGACCAACAACTGTCCCTCTTGTCAACTTGGAGGCATTGCATAAGCAGATAGCTAAGCTTGGATTGTGGAATGGTGGTTCTAATGAATTGTGGCATGGGTTACATCAGCATGAACCCAGTTTAGAACGTGCAGCACAGCGTTTGAGCTCTGCCAGAGGTCTGTCTTGATGAGTAACCAGTTGGTTTTCCAGATTCAGTGGTGGCTGTGGTTCTCCACCAACACGCCTTTTTTCCTTGCCACTGTGAACCCATTCTTTCAATTTGTTATGTATAGTTCTCATTCTGACCGCTGAAGTACCAATAATATGTTGTACCAGTGTAACAGAGTCGCTTGTAGTTTGTAACGACAATTATTTGCACACAATAAAATCACACCTTATTTTTTCACCTCTTTTTTAAAATCATTTAAGGCAAAGCTACTTGGCAGATGTGTGATCAAAACAGCTAGATATAGTTGCTTCTTCTCTTGTCCCTTTCTTTTTTTTTTTTCTTTGTCCAGCAAATATACTAAAATTATGAGTGCTAAAATCATACATGGACTATGTCAAAATTTGAAGTAAATACCTCCAGATAACCCCATTACTGTGAATGAAGTTGGACAACAAAAAAAATAAAAATAAAAATTTCCAATGTATATCATCCAGAACACAATAGACGTTAAATCAACACAGCACGGTAGCTGGACAGAAGATATAATTGAATGAAAAAATTTGACAACCATCTTTCTCAAAGAGGCAGCAATTCAATCATCCAACAACCAGGTGGGGCTTAATCTAATGCATGCTAATGATGTCCATGCAGGTATTCCCTATGATTTACATATTTTGAAGTGTAGTGACCAGTAAAAGGATTAAAGCAGACACTATATTGATTCTTCTAATGAATAGATTGGTAAAATCAATTTCTTAAAATTTCCCATCTTCCGTTTGCAGAATATGAAATGTATATCAATTCAATCATGTACAAAACACTCAGTTGAGGGAACAAAATTTAGCACAGTCGCCAATCTCATAATGATGTTATATTATATCAGGTACAGGTACCATTGACCAGGAACTGTCCGAGAAGGTAGATTGTGGTGCATCATAGCTCTTTATTCGAAACAGTTCAACACCATTGATTATTTTATCTACTTGGAACTTGAGTGACCGGGTTGTCAGTGGCAGCACATAACGCCTTCCAGATTGGGATTAACATTTTCACTGGTGGGTGAAGTTCCTGGACAAGAATTCAAGCCCTATTTGAGTCAGTACAAAGAGGGAGAGTGGGGGCTGAATGGAAATAACAAGGGGCAACATCTTTGCAAAAAATAGTTCCTTATTTATTGAACAATAAATCACCCTATTCAACTGCTTTAGCAATCAGCTGTTCTTCACAGAATGGGACATGGGATGGGTCCCACATGTGGGGTGTGAAAATCCTCTATGCACTATAATATGCACTTCAAGGCTCACTTGTTCTTTGTGACTTTTTAAGTTATAATCATCATTAGGTTTTTCCGAAAAGCATAGAAAGTACAAACGAGAAAACATCATTTTACCTTGAAAACTAACACAAGTTCTTCTTCCTCACGTACAATCAGAGACAAGTTCCAATAACAAGTGACTGGGGTCACACATTCATTCAGGACAGGTTTCAAAATCTTTTCAATGGGAATGAAGCGGTGGATTATTCTCCCACTATGTGAGGAAAAAAAGAGTAGTATTAGTGAAGCCAATGATTAGAAATGACAAAAGGAGAAAAAATACATATAACAGGCAAAACAAAATATTATTCTTCGTGATTGTTTGAACTGGTGAATAGAAGGGAGATCCTAAGCATAAACTACTCTAGTGGTGCTATTGAGCAGCTAAAGGCAAGGTTGGCCATATTCTTTTTTAGGCTAGAAAAACTGGAGAATGTTTTGGGTTATGGAAAAAAAGGGAAGAAGAGATACTCCAACCAGTGCTCTTTTGTAACTGTTGCTTCAGTTTGATAGTTATGATTTTTAAGTTTAATATCACAAATATACTTATGAATGGTTGAGTTCCATAGCTTTTGTTTTGTTTAAAAACAAGCATCCTAAGATATAGGCACTAGGGCTGCAAACGAGCCGAACCGAGCCGAGACAAGCTGAGCTTTGCTGAGCTCGAGCTCAGCTCATTTGCTTATTGAGCTCGTTTATTGAGCTCTAGCTCGGCTTGATAAGTAACTGGACTCAAAGCTTGGCTCAATAAATAACTGGGCTCGAGCTCAGCTCGATAAGATATTTTTTAATATTATTTATATTATTTAAATAAAAAAATACTATTTATATTATTGAATATATAAATAATGTAATTATTTATATATTATTGAATATATAAATATTTATTATATAATTTAAATAAAGATAAACGAGCCGAACTTATTAGAGCTTGGCTCGTTTATTAAACGAGCTGAGCCGAGCCTATTCATGAACAGTTTGGTTCATTTGCAGTCCCAATAGGCACCAATCAATATCCATATATTTTTTTTTGGACATTGCTATTCAAAGAACCAGCAGAGACATTCTAATAAACAGAGTGTACCATTGAACCAACTTTTCCTTTTCCCAGTTTGACACCTAACATATATTTGCAAATGGGAGTTAGATCCACTCTCTCAATAAATGAAAAATTCTCATACAAAAAAAAAATAAGGAAGTACCTGCTGTAGTGAGTTTCAAGCTGGACTCCAAAAGCTGGCATGATTATGATGGACTCTGAAACATTAAGACATAAAACAAAGTGAACAGGTAATGAAAATACCTCCCCAAAATGAAACAAATAAACACCAATCATTCATGTCAATCACATGGCAAGTGTGTGAAGAATATGGAATCTCACCAAACCAGAAAAAATCAGTGAATAAAACATGTGAACTAATGAAAATGACATGTTAACAAAACTTAAATTTAAGAATTAATTGTTAGTAACTTTGCATTTCAAAAAGAGCGAAAAATAAACCTTAAATAAAACTTATAACATGTTAAAAATATATAAAAAATACATTCATCTAAAATCAACACTTGAACTGGCTCACCTATACTTTTCAAGCCGTAAGCATGCAAACTCGTGCTGAGGCCAGTGATCTTGATTTTAATGGCATCGATCTCATATCCGACCCTGTGAACATCTAGCCATTTGTTGAAGACGCAAGCGAATCTTTTAAGGGTGTTCTTGCATCAGATAAACACTCTCTCTCTCTCTCTCTCTCTCTCTCTCTCTCGTTTCCCCAATTTCAAACCCTAACTATAATTTTCAACTTCTCAGATCTTTGCCCCTTCATTGTCCAACCTCACCATCTCGTTTTTCAAAAAACATTTCAATTTTTAAGTGGTATTGGTGGCATGGTGTTCTTATTCTCTCTCTCTCTCTCTCTATATATATATATATAGTGTTTGTGCTTGTGTGTTTGGTCTATCCTTACCAGGTACATATATAGTGTGTGCTTGTGTGTTTGGCCTCTCCTTACCAGGTATTGATGAACTCTACATCTATATATATATACACACACGCAATAGAGTGTTTGTATGTATCAATGATAGTAGTCATATGGTCTCTCCTTAGTGTTTGGCATGCCTATAAGGTGTTTGTTTTTTGGTCTATGTTAAAATGTTTGGAGGAAAGAAAGAAAGAAAATTCGCATTGATTATCTAATTTACGATCTCTGTCTCTTTTTTTTTTTCTTCTTAAGTTTGATTCTAGTATTTATATGAATGTGGTATATGATTTGATTCTTTTCTGAGGAAAATTTCTTGGATTTTGCTGTTGATTTTATGGATTTTAATTAATTATTTGTTTATTTTTAAATTTTTGTCTCACTTGGAATTCTGTGTTTTGTTCAGTGTCTGCTCTTTATGCCTTCAACGAAATGGCTTTGTCAAATTGGAATAAGGTAGATGCAGATCCTTGTGACTGGTCTGGCATATCCTGTTTAGGTGTTTAGGTGGCATAATTCATATCTCTTTGTGAGGATAACCTGCGTCATTCAATGATATGTTTTTTAGCACTTCAAACTGGGCCAGCATTTTGGAACATCTCTAATTAGAAGATAGACTAACAATTTGGACTGTAGGAGTAGGAAATTGGGATAAATTCATATTTTAGATGTCATTCCTTCTTGTTGTCTTGATCTCCGGCTAACAATTTGGGACATCCCTAAATGAAAAGATGGACTAACAATTTTGGACAGAGGGAGTACGAAGTGGGCGATAAGTTCGCCTTTGAGATGTCACGCTCTTCTCTTTATCTTGGTTTCCCACTATTTCAAAGAAACTTCTAGCTCTTTGTGAAAAATGTGTTTTGTAACTTTTCACAGCTATTGTTAGTTCTTTTCACTATATAAGCATCTTGAAATTTTCAAGTGTGCTGCAATGAACGCGACTAATTTTCAATATTTCCATTTTATCCACATGGTGACCCTTTTTCTGAGATTTCTGTAGTTTTATTATTGCATCCACTTGAACTTTTAAATTTTATTTTTTGTTTTGTTTGTGTATTATTTATATCGTTCAAATATCGACCCGTTTGACATTTTAAAATAAGAATACCACCTTTAGCATGGGTTAGTGATATCTGATTTATTTTTGTTATGTCGTCATAGTTCTGATGAAGGTCTACCTGTATCTGGTGATGAATCAATGCATGAAATTCTGCAAAAAGCTTTGTTGAGGACAATTCATGATATCGATACAAAATTTTCACTGGTAAGTATTTAGTCTTTACATTTTTCTTTCTCAAAACAAGTGTTTCTCATTAGTTTGTTGTGATCATCCTACATTCCCAGGAAGCTTTCAATAACAGATATATTTCTGGATCCACGGCCACCATCGTTCTCTTGGTGGATGGTCAAATTTTAGCTGCTAGTGTTGGTGATTCAAAAGCACTCCTGTGCTCGGAGAAAATCAAGGCTGCTTTAGGGGATGAAGGTCTAATTCTTCCCATTATTATCAAGTCCCTTTGTGGTTGGACTCACATTCACTAGGCACTGCTAGATTAAAAAAATACACTTGTCTTGCATGTTATTAGCTGTAAAAATATATGTATTATTGATTGATGTGTTGTTGTATATTTTACAAATGGTGAGTGGCTCATTATATAGGAGAGGGTGAGTGTAGTAGGTGAGGAGTAGGTGAGGAGTAGGTGGTGGTAGGTGATGGTAAATTGGTGGTAGGTGATGTTGATGTGGAAGAACTGACAAGAGATCATCATCCAGATAGAGATGACGAGAGAACCCGAATAGAAGCTGCTGGTGGGTTTGTACGTTTGTGGGGTGTGCCTCGTGTCAATGGTATCTTAGTTGTATCCCGATCTATTGGTGATGTGTACTCAAAAAGGTGAATTTTCGGAAGCTAAAGTTAGCTTAGTCTGCTCATCTTTTTCCTCTTCACTTTTTTATGTTTTGCTGTTAGTTCTGCTCTTTAGCCATCATCCTATGGTAATGATGAGAATGATGTAATTTTCAAATAGTTTTGGTGAGCCCATTGCCGATCTCTGATATTATCATTCTCTGTCAAACGTGTGAACTTTGCACTGATCATTATTACATGGCTGATATAACTAGGGATGAGACGTTTTTTCACAGTTTATTTTGTTTTTAACTGTCAGATATGGTGTTAGTCCCGTGCCTGAAGTGATAGGTTGGCGGCATTTAACTGCCAATGATTGCTATTTGGTTGTTGCATCTGATGGCATCTTCAAGAGTTTGAAACCACAGAAAGTTTGTGATCTTTTATGGGATGCAAATGTCCAAGTAGATGAAATGTCCAAAAGCTCATGTTCATGTTCATCCTCTTCCTCATTGGCTGACCGCATTGTCAACAAAGCGTTCAAGAAAGGCAGTAGGGACAACTTGTCAGCTGTTGTAATTCCACTGAATTTTATTGGTTTTCCCCAAGAACCCGCTGGACAGAATTTGTGATTTTGGAAAATCAGCCATTTTAGCCTTTCAAAAGGCATCTGCAATCAGATCGATATTCTTCAAGTTTCTATTTCGACAAACAGAGCATGTTTTTCATTTGCTCTGAAACTCATTTGAGATAGGATTGATAACTTTTGAAAGTTAAGAGTTTTAGAGTTTTCATGTACTATTGAGGTTTTGGAGTGTTTTTTTTTAATATATTTTTTTATAATTGCTACATTGTGGGTAGAATACTACCATGCTATGTTTGGGACCTAGGATTTGTTCAAGGGAAAGGAAAAGAATTTTTTTTGTCAATACATTTGAGTGGAGAATAATGATGATGTACTCGTGAATGTCCAGTTTAACATGTACTATTGAGGTTTTGGAGTGTTTTTTTTTATTTTATATTTTTTATAATCGCTACATTGTGGGTAGAATACTACCATGCTATGTTTGGGACCTAGGATTTGTTCAAGGGAAAGGAAAAGAATTTTTTTTGTCAATACATTTGAGTGTAGAATAATGATGATGTACTCGTGACTGTCCAGTTTAACATACTTCGCGTAATATTCGTAATTTTTGTAGCT